CGTATGAAATTCTAAGTAAACTTCCAGCAAATCCAATGCTTCCTGCTTCCTTGATGCTACGGTTTTCAGGGTAGTTTTGTTAAAGCTATAATTCATCTACTCTGTTCTTTCCTCCGTAGTGAGGGGAGCATAGTGTCACGATCATACTTGTCGCTCATGCTCATGGCCACACGCTCATTCCAAACCCATCCAAAGTTCTTCCAATTATGGCATAATTTAAAACAAAGGTACAAGGATTGCTTATATTAATGTCTTGACAAAGGTAACTTTCTGCTAATAATTAAGAACTGAACATAAAATCACCATCAAAATTCAAAACACTGTGCTATATTGATATCAACAGTTCAAAACTGGGCCCTCAAGAATTTATATCCATAAGACATTTGATCAGAAAAATTAAAAAAAACCAGACCCAACCTCCTCCACTCTGCCAGCTTGGTTTGGTCAGGTACTTAGTTTCATTTTGTCTGCTTTCAAGTGTAATGCCCCAACAGCATATTGCATCGTAAATCTCTCTTTATTTAGATGCATTATCTTTGGAGGATTGGCTAATTAAGAGGAAGATCATGAGTTAAGGAATACGATCTCCATTGGTACGAAGTCTCTTGGGAAAGCCAAAAACAAAGCCATGAGACAATATCATACCATTGTGGAGAGTCCTGATTTCTAATGTTATCTTGGTTTGCATACTGAAATCAACTTTATGCAACATGACAGCTTGTTTGGGTCCGAATTGAGTTCATCAACTTTGAGTCCTTTACCATGATCACATCTGAACATGGGATGTAGGAGAAATTGTTTGGATAGGCCGTGGAAAGAAATTTAGGTTTTGGTGGTTCTTAGTAAACACGATTGTGCAAGCATTGTATAACAGTCAGCTCATCGCTAGCAAATATCGTGTTCTCTTTGGGTTTTCCCTTCCGTGCTTCTCCTCCTCAAAGTTTTTAAAATGTGTCTGCTAAGGAGAGGTTTCCACACCCTTAAAATAGTGCTTCGTTTTCCTCTCCAATCGATGTGGAATCTCACAATCCATCTCTCCTCTTTGGGCCCCAGCTTCTTCGGTAGCACTCGTTCCTCTCTCCAATCGCCTTCGGGACTCAGCGTTCTCGCTGACATACCACCCGATATCCACCCCCTTTGGTGCTCAGCGTCTTCCCTGGCACACCGTGTGTGACCATTTAGATAAGTTTTGTATGTCCACGGTTAAGTTTAGGGTCTTTTCTCCATTTTTGTATATTTCATTAAAGTTTGTATATTTCATTTTTGTTTTTATACGTTGAAACATGAGGCAGACGAGACGAAGCAAGGAGAAGCAAATACCAAATCAATGATGATATTCGTTCTCCATCTGTGCCCCAAGTATCAATAATCTTGAGGTATAGATACTCAAAATATGCAGTAGAGAGCTTGGAAAATAAAAGAAAATGCAGATGTCATGGCCTCAATTAGAATCCTCTAACAAAAACGTACCTTTGCCTATGCAGACACCGTCTTGGTCTAGCTCATGATCCTTCAGTTCTAGAAGCTTGAACTGAAGATTCTAGCTTTGCCACATAATATGTTGATAGGTATGCACCTAAACTGAAACCGTATCCATAGCCATCATCTTCAAATAGAACACCTTTAGCCTTGCTTGTAAATAAGATTAATATTTTTTTAAACTTGCAGAAGGAAAAAGTTGCAAGAAATATGTTGACATGAACACACGAAATCCAGAGAAATCAATAGACAAATGGTTCTGATTACTGGGCCAGTCGACACTTAAATGAATTCAATAGACAAAATGGCTCCTTTCCCGGTCCACACCCCTTCGAGGCCAATTCGAGGTCAGGCGTTCTTGCTGACACTCGTTCCCTTTTCCAATCGATATAGATGTGGGGCCCCAATCCACCCCTTTTCAGGACCCAGCATCCTTGTTGGTAGATCGCCTCGCGTCCATCCCTCTTTGAGGCTCAGCCTTCTCGCCCGTGTCTGGCTTTGATACCATTTGTAATAGCACAAGCCCACCATTAGCAAATATTGTCTTCCCTCAAAGTTTTAAATCACGTATGCTAGATAGAGGTTTCCACACTCTATAAAGAATGCTTCGTTCCCTTCTTCAACCGATGTGAGACCACCACTGTGGAAAGGGGAATGAAGCATTCTATCTATTTGCATAGTCCACCACTGTGACGACAGATTAGGAAGTTGCTTTTTTGTTCGACAATTTAAGATCTGGCTGTCGATTCGGCTCAGAAGCTGAAGATTTGCTTGATGGGATGTTGGCGGAGATGCTTATTATCCTCATACTGGATGGTGGATATACTCATTTCTATCAGCATTGGCTCTGGGGTTGTATGGTGATTCACTCCCTTTACAATATCAAATTTCTTCTTCATCCGCCAAAGGTTTTGCTAAGTTATGGGGTCTTTGTAAAACTATTCACCTCCTCTAAGGGTTGGAAGGAGTCCCACGTTGGTTAATTAAGGAGATAATCATGGATTTATAAGAATAGCAAATAAATAAACACAAAGCCCCGAGGAGCCACACGAGAAATCGCGTCCAGAAATCCTCGCAAGTGTGTGGTAATGGAGAGGAGAGTCAAAAGAGAACTTGTACTGAAATATTATCTAAGTAGAAGCACATCAAGTATTGCACTTATGGAAATAAAGCTTGCATTGATATAACGCCATGCAGAAGGTCTGTAATCCTTACAAGAGTCAAGTACGACTCAAGTCTCATCAACTGAAAATATTCATACAACAATTCAGCTATCAAATTGGACTAACTAATAATGAAAAATTTTAATTTTTTTTTTTTTTTTTCCTTTTTTTTAACGGCTACTTACTGTTTTACGTTTCAAAATCTTGGTTTTAATATTTTATTTTGAATTTCATTTCCAAATTAAAATGTTTATCTTCTAATAGTTTAACTAGTTTTCTCTATAAATTTTGAAATGGGTTTACCTGATGTTTTTTCTTTTATAAAAAATAATTTTGTTTTATAAACTAATTTCAATACGAAAATGCTATTCTAAAATTTAGAAAAAATAGAGAATCTAAATTTAAATATTTAAAAATACCTGAATTAAAACTAAATACAAAATATAAGGAGACGCAATATTTCAATAATTTGATTGTAAAATAACAAAATTCAAACCATTAATTTTGATTTAGTTTTTTCAAAATATTAATATTTTTAAAATATTTATTTTGATTTTGATACGTTTAAAATTAATATTTTGTTCCCTTGTTTCATTACTTTTAAAACATGACTAATTTCATCTTGAAATGAGTGGATGGCAACTAATCTTAAAATTCTAATTAAAAATTAAATTAAAATTTTAAGATAAATATATATATATATATATATATATATATATATATATATATAGATTTAGGTAGAAGATAGGGGAAGACAAACAATAAGATATGTGTGGAAGACAAATCAAAACCCGAAAAAAATCCGAAAAATTTAGAAATTTAGTTTTTAGGAGTATAAAATATTTCATTAATACTCTTAAATTTTTTTAAAAACTTCAAAAATATCTTTATAAAGTTTTTTTAAAAAATCAAAATATATTTATATTTAGTGCGACGTTTCAAAAAATATTCATAAACTTTCATAGTTTTTTTTTTTTTTTTTTTTTGTAAATTGAAATTAATATCATGTTTTTATAAAATAACAATAAAAAACTGCAATAATTAAAGCAGATGAGAGACCAAAATTCCAAATATAAAAACATTCCATACTAATAATGTTATTGAATTTCTTAACATCATCTCGATTCAATTTTTTGGTTTTTAAAACAAATGTCTTTGTTCGTTTGCTATTTTAACATACAAGGCTTGAAGTACAACGGAGCAACCTTTCAACATACAAGGCTTGAAGTACAACAACAAATTTTCACAAGTTTGTAAATAATTAAATAAATTTTAATACGATTCAATGACTTAAACAATTAATTTGAGGGTTAAGACCTTTTTGATCGAGTCAACCCGAGTAACCCAAAAAAGGGTTTACAACCCAACCCAACCCTACCTAACACAACTTTTAAGAGTGTTATAAAAATTAAGAATATTTGACATTTATAACAAATGTTAACGATGTATAATAACTTTGAAATTTGAATTTTATGGGATTTTAGTTATTAACCTAACATGTACTATGAATAAGTATAATTTTTTTAATTATTAAAAAAAATTGACCAACTCGATGTCCCAAACCAACCGAAAAAAATAAGGAGTTGGGTTGGATTGCGAACTCTATATACACTAACCCAATCAACCCCAAAATTTCAAGTTGGTCCAAAAAAAAATTCCGACCCATATACATCCCTAATAATTTTCACTCGACTTCCTCGAGAAACAATATATAAGAATTATATATAAATTACAACTGAAAACTAACTTGGTTACTAAGGTGTTGATTCATTTTGAGGCCACCAAATAATCAATAGTTAGCGTCTTAATTATGATCTGTCGCCAACTGAATTTATTACAAACTTGACTGGTAGCCAGCTTGGTTTAGCATTTTATTGTTCTTTGGCGGTTCAAATTTGCACACAATTTAACTATTTAATAGCTTTCTTATTCAGTTCACTGCATACTTGTTTAAATATAGCAACTATTATAATTAAGTGCCTCAACAAGTTCTTCATCAACATTCAGACGCAAAATTACCTCTTATAATATTCAATTGATGTCATCAAGAAAGATACCAATTGGCCCACCTCCAAAAGATTCCTGCCCTGTTTGACTGAGCTGCATCTTGCAAGTTGTCCATAAGTATCTGCATCAAAGATTTCAACTCAAAAACAGTTCTTAGTAGCAAATTACATAAGAAGAAGAAGAAGAAGAAGAAGGAGAAGAAAGGGCCAAACTTCGAGTTCGGGTTCTTCAGTTTCGAGTTTGTGATTTAAACTCATAGGGACTAGAGATTCGAACTTTTGAACTCGTAGCTCGTACGAACAAAAAAGATATTTCAAATTGTGAACAGTACATTGTTCAAAGACTTTTCTCATTTCTTTGCCTTCTCTTTCACAGGTCTGGCAAGTCAACTTCACTGAAGTCCACTTTAGCTGCTGAAGAGTTTAAAGCCATTAACTAGCGGTAGCTATCAAGCTATTCCATTGGTTCAATAACCATGGCTGCTTCTGTGCCTAAGTGCCCACCATTTGACTTCGCCGACAAGTACTACCAAGCGACGGCTGCCGGCTGTGTGCGGCAGAGCAGCTTCTTCAACGGCCAGGCTGTTCTTGATCAGGGCATTGGCTATTCTGTTATTCTTGGCTTTGGAGCTTTTTTCGCTGTCTTCACATCTTTCTTGGTTAGCTTCCTCACTTTCCACTCCAATTCTTGCCCTCCTCTTCTTTGAGCCCTGATTGTTACTCCTTGTTCATCTAAGAAGTAATTACTTACGAAATGAACTAAATTGTTATAAACGAAAGTTCAGAGACTAAATTGTTGACAACGGGGTGGTGCAGGTATGGCTGGAGAATCGATACATAGGGAGTAAGAAGACATCAGAATGGTTCAACACAGCAGGCAGGAGTGTGAAGACGGGGCTAATTGCTAGTGTGATTGTGTCTCAGGTAACTTTGGCAGATTCTTATGTTTGTGGTTTGTGTATGTGGTTGGCTTGGTTTGGCTGATATGAATGGTTTGTTTGTTTATGAAGTGGACATGGGCTGCCACCATTTTACAGAGCTCCAATGTTGCTTGGGAGTATGGAGTTAGTGGACCATTCTGGTATGCTAGTGGGGCTACCATTCAGGCAAGTTCATCCCCAAGTTTTTAGCTTATAGCTTATTAGTCGAAGTTAGGAGAATATTAGGGGCTAAGTTTGCTATTCTGATCATTTCTATATTTGGTTTTCACTAAGAATTAAGAAAAAAAGTTAGGATGATCAATAACAACAAAACAACTATCAGTCAACTTCAAGTGACGACTATGGTGTTGTAATAGCCCAAGTTCATCGTTAGCAAATATTGTGCTCTTTGAGTTTTATCTTTCAACTAGTCACTGGTTGGAGTAGGGCTAGATCCTCTCTATAGTAGACGCGTTTTAAAACCGCGAGGCTGGCGGCGATACGTAATGGGTTGAAATGGACAACATCTACTAGCGGTGGGCTTTGGCTATTACAAATGGTATCAAAGTCAGATACCGGGCGGTGTGCCAGCAAGGACGCTGGGAGGGGAACGAAGCATTCCTTATAAGGGTGTGGAAACCTCTTCCTAGTAGATGCGTTTTAAAACCTTGAGGGGAAGCTCGGAAGGGAAAACCTAAAGAGGACGATATCTATTAGCAGTGGACTTAGGCCGTTACAGGTGTTACAGGTACAGTGAGTGTGTTAGTGGATAAATGAGTGCATTGACAAATGATTCAGGTTCTTCTATTTGGAATAATGGCTATAGAGATCAAAAGGAAGGCCCCAAATGCTCACACAGTTTGTGAAATTGTAAGAGCTCGGTAAGTTAGGAAGTTCCATCTACATGTTGTTCTACAAGTTTTTGTTCTGCTCCTTTGGCCATGCCTCTTATTTGGCTATGTTTCTGTGTGGTATCTATCAGTTGGGGAACTCCTGCACATATAGTCTTCCTTGTTTTCTGCTTCATGACAAACATCCTAGTAACAGCCATGTTGCTTCTTGGCGGTTCAGCGGTGGTCAATGCACTCACCGGAGTGAACATTTTTGCTGCAAGCTTTCTTATACCGCTCGGAGTTATCGTATACACACTGGCTGGAGGATTAAAAGCCACTTTCTTGGCTAGCTATATCCATTCTGTAATAGGTATTCCTTTCTAGTCAAGGCTCCCTAATATTAACTTCTTGTTGATGTTGGTATGGTTTCTTTTTTGTTGCAGTTCATGTTATTCTGGTCATATTCGTGTTCCTCGTTTATACGTCGAGCAGCCAGCTCGGCAGCCCCAGTGTTGTATATGATCATTTGATGGAAGTGGCTAGCAAAGCTAGAATGTGCCAGGAACCAATTTCCCACGATGGCCAATCTTGTGGCCCTGTTTCTGGGAACTTCAAAGGCTCTTATGCAACATTGTTGAGCTCAGGAGGGCTTGTTTTCGGGATTATTAATATTGTAGGCAACTTCGGTACTGTTTTTGTTGACAATGTGAGATTTTCGTAGAACGATGTTTAGTTATCTCCATCGAGTTTCAACTTAAGTAATCACTTTTGTCTACTTGATCTGAGGTGGATCCTAAATGTTGTAAATTTCAGGGATATTGGATGAGTGCAATAGCTGCAAGGCCATCATCAACTCACAAGGGATATTTGGTGGGAGGTTTGGTCTGGTTTGCAGTTCCATTCTCTTTAGCAACTTCACTTGGTTTAGGCGCACTTGCCCTTGATCTACCAATAACTACAGATGAGGCTAGCCGAGGACTTGTGCCCCCTGCCACTGCTATAGCTTTGATGGGAAAAGGAGGATCTGTTCTTCTCCTTGTCATGCTTTTTATGTAAGTTAAGAAGAAGAAAGATTCAATTCAAGCAAACAAATACGATCGGGAAACCGAAAGCTAATCTCGCTAAACTAACTATCAACAGGGCTGTAACTTCTGCTGGTTCATCCGAGTTAATAAGTGTATCGTCCTTGTGCACGTACGATATCTACCGAACGTACGTGAATCCTAATGCTAGTGGAAAGAGCATCCTAAAAGTATCAAGAGCTGTTATTCTAGTGTTTGGATGTTTCATGGGGCTGCTGGCAATAGTTCTTAACAAGGCTGGAGTTTCATTGGGATGGATGTATCTAGCTATGGGAGTGTTCATTGGTTCAGCAGTTATTCCAATAGCCTTTATGCTTCTGTGGACTAAAGCGAATTCCAACGGAGCAATTCTTGGAACGACCATCGGCTGTGTTCTTGGAGTCATAACATGGATCTCGGTCACGAAGATCGAGTATGGCGAGGTTAACTTGAATACTACAGGTAGAAATGCACCTATGCTTGCTGGGAATCTTGTCTCTATACTTTCAGGAGGGATTATTCACGCCATATCTAGCCTGTTATCACCTCAAAACTATGACTGGGAGACCACTAGGAAGATTTCAACTGTTGAAAAGGACAACGGTGAAATCCCATCAGAAGAGTACAAGGAGGAAAAATTGATGAAAGCAAAAGCATGGATAGTGAAATGGGGCGTTGGATTTACCATAGTAATTGTTATACTATGGCCTCTTTTATCTCTTCCAATAGGTAATTTCCTTTCATCTTGTTCATACTATTGAAGAACACTAAGAAAATAATGGTGGATTACTTTGTGTGTTTCTCTATTGTGCAGGAGAGTTTAACAAGAAATATTTCACACTTTGGGCTGTAATAGCAATAGCATGGGGAACAATAGGTTCTGCTGTAATTATTTTCTTACCATTGATCGAAAGTCGGGAAACTTTACGGGCTGTGATGCTTGGAATGTTTACGAGTGCGATAAACTCGGCGACACGATGGACGAAATGAGTCTGAAGTTGTATTCTTCAGTCATGGCTGTACCTGAATCAGAGAGAATTTAGTTGCTAGAGAAGAAGAAGAACGCAAGGAAGGAGGATTTACTGGATATACCTGATCATGCTGCTCCTTGGCCACCTGAAAGAAGCAGATGTGTTGACAAAAAGTTAATTGGAAAAGATGTGAAAAAGGGTACGAAATTAAGGCCAAGTAGGCTGAAAATCAGAAATTTTTTCCTTGGTGTGGCCAATAGTGTTTGAAGTTTCTTGTTTATTTCATGTGATTAGGAGAGTTCTGTTTGATCCTTTTCTACCTCTGTGGCTTTGTGTATTTGTTGGTGTAAATGTGTATTTGTTGTTATGAATAAGCTCAAAAGGGTTAAAAATATAGTAAACGAGTTCAATTAAAAATAAATGAATTGCTCAGGTAGAATATTATTTTCATCGATCTTAAACCAAACTAAAACATAAAGTTCTTCACACTTTCGTCCTCCAATCAAGTATAAGTTAAAAGAGAATTTTGATCAAGAATAGGGCTTATAAGTCCGGCCCTTGTCTTAGCTTTTTCAATCAAATGACAGTAAACAAATATACTATTTCCTACAAAATAATACTCAATAAAAAATAATACTCATATGTGGCAATTCCACAAGAACTGCAGGATCTTCGGCAGCATGAATTTCCTGAAAAAACGAAGTCAAAGCACCTAGGTTCAGGGCCAAACCAACTACCAAGAGCACTCGTCCATAAACGAGTAACGGGTACAAATAACATAAAGAAATATAACCAACCTTTATCATTAAACCCAAAAGATTTTGGGATCTTTAATTAGAGAAGAATCCACAAAATTTGATGAGATTTTTCAAGGCAATGATCAAATTGTTAGAAATTTTGAAGTGTAAAACTAAATTGGTATTAGGTTCAATAGCTAAATTATTACAAATTTGACGTTCGAAAGGACAAAGACTCAAGTTCGCACTGTCCTGCTTTTAAGGACATCAGATATCTGAATTTGGTTAAAGGGTTGAGAAGATGGATGCATTGGCAAACTCTGAAAGAATAATACTAACAAATGGTTCATTGACGCAGAATTTAGATACATACGATTAAGGTACTGAACTTAAACAAGAATTATTTGAGCATCATTGTCCATACAGATAATTAAAGAAACTCATCAGTTAGCTGCAGCTGACTCTTGCAACTGTTTCACCTTGGTGATATAGTCGCTCATTGCATCATCCTTGGATTTTGCTGCAAAATTATTTCAGTCTCTTCGATCAAAGCTCAATTCTGGTAAATTCTTAATTTCACAAGCAAGCTCCCCCCCAACTGAATAGTAAAGGTTTGCCGCCTATAGAAAAACTAGCAAAAATGTTCTATATAAACATACTAAAACATTACCTTCAACGGCCTTCCAGGCATCCCATTTGGCTCTGTCCCTCTGGTTGAACACTCCAGGGCGGCCTACAAATCAGTCATAATTGCAATAAACGGTTTAAGTGGAGGGCTTGATCACATAATTCCAACTACACACAGCGTTTCTACAGAAATTGCATTCGAGTGGAAGAAAGAACTGACTAGTGTTCACGGCTCCAACAGTGGCTTGCTTGTATAGTCCATAGAGAATGAGTTTGTTTTCATTGCTTGTGTTCTCCGACAAGGTCTTTGCCTTTTCAGCATACTCTTCAAATTCTTCCTGCAGAACTAAGCCTCATCAAATTGTGGCACAGACTACATGCATTTAGATTCATACTCCATAGAACGAACGCCACAAAGATACCATTTGTTCTTACAATTCTCTGCACCTACTGCTCTAACATCTAGGGTCCTGTTAGGCTAATCAGAGTTCTTGCACAACTTCAAGCAATCAATTTATCAATTTGGGATAAAATCGAGTCAGCATTTTAATAACTGCGAAATTACTTTACTACAGTCTCCGTGATACTCGATCGAATTCGCCAATTACTGAAAGTCGTTGAGTGGAATATTCTCGTTGGAAGACCACTTTTGCCTTTTCATTTCACATTTCTCGGAAAAATGAGAAATGACGGAGATGGAAACGACCGTGATGTCATTTCCAACCTCGGATTTAAGTTTCAACCTGACGTGATTAAGGCCGCCAGCGTCAAAGTACGGCCATGCAAATTAAGCCACGGAGAACAATGAACAGAGAGAGAAGGAAGTAGTACAATATTTATCCCATAAGTATGCAAGGAGAAATACCTATCAATCTGGAAACCACCAGATATCGTTCATACTTATAAAAATTCCCCGTCTATACTTAAGTAGATTTTCACGGCCTATCCTATAAGTAGGCAAGGAGAAACATCATGTCTAAAGTTTAGTCCCTGAGCTTTCACACCTATGTTTAAGTAGATTTTCACGGCCGGTGATCTGGAAACCATCAGATATCGTTCATACTTCGAGAGGATTACGTAATCGACTCAAAAAACAGATCCGAAAAGATAAATTAAACAGAAAGCAACGAACGCTAACCAATCAATTATACTGGCAATGCGGGACTATGACACCAAACAGAAAATATGCAGTGATCTGTAGCCATTCCTCAATTCAATGTCAAGATCAGCAAGCAAAACTTAAAGCATAATCGTTCAACATCGAATCACGTACACAAAACAAAAACAAAAAAATCAACTACTGATCGAACAAGAAATGTCCAGGAAGAGAGAGAGAGCGAAAAAAATCGAAGCTAATAAGCAAAATAAACTTCAGATTGGAGCAGAACAATAAGAGAAGGAACATACCTTCAAACCCATGGCAATTCTTCTTTGTTCCTACACGCTCGAAGCTCGATCACGGTTACGAAACACTAACTAGGAAGAAAGATGAGTGTGGAGCGTATAAATAGACGAGCGAAGAAAGAGGAGCAGAAAAAAAATCGCCGAGTAATTTATCTTAGAAAAATAAAAATTAAATTAAAAAAAAAAGCATAAATCGTCGAACACAGTGGGCCCCATACGGTGGACCTCGGCATATTCCTCCCGATTAGCTATTACGCTACCCTTCGTGGGTCCAATTATTTATTTATTATTTCGATGATCTCTAAGCATTGGATATTCCCATCCGACCTTACGATCTCGACACGTGTCCACATCCCCATCTTGGCAAAGTTGGGAAAAAAAATCATTAAATTATAGTTTCAATCCTCTCTTTAATGCCTTCTTAAATTTTAAATTTTAAATTTGGCTAATAATAAATCATTAATATATTTAACATTTTTTTAATTCCCCAATGTTCTAACAAAAAAAAAAAACAATATTAGATATAAAAGATTAAATATTTTTAAACTTTTTAAAATATGTATGAATTAAAAAACTTATTAATGACTTAAAAATATATGTTATTTTAATTCTTGAAATTGCTTTAAAACAACCCTTTATTAATTTTTCTATTAAAACCATAGAAAAACCAAGTCACAATATAATGTAATAATTGAAAAATAAGTTCACTCGAATTTATTGTTAATTTAAAATAAAATAATTTACTTACAATACAATTATATATATAAATTATTTTAAATCGAACCTACTCGAATTGTTTTATAAATTATTTTTTATTATTTATTTTCCAAAAAATTTTAAAAATGATTTTTAACTATTAAATTGAGCCATAAACTGTTCGAAAATAAATAAAATCCTACTTAATAAAAAAAAATTAATGAATTAAAAAACATAAATAATTAAATTAGTTCTAAAGAAAAGTCTCATCCGATCCGACCAACCCGACCCACAAAGTCGACCAACCCGGCTTTAGTCCAAGAAGGCCCATCATAGAAATTACGAAAGCCCATGATCTTTGATCGACAAGGCCCAATGCGCCTTGTTATGGTTTAATTATATTTTAGTTTTGTTGGGTTATTTTTCAATAATTTTAATCATTAAAAACTAATACTAATAACTTCTTTTTAAATAAAAATAATAAATTTTATTTTAACTTTTTAAAATTTTGAAATAATACTATATCCTTGTGTCTTATAAGGTACAACAATTACATTTACGTGAATCGAACGATCTACCTTCAAAATAATAATTGATATCTTATCTATTAAATTATACTTAAATTAATTATTATTATATTTTTTAATATTGTAATTGGGCGATGATAATTTTACAAATCAAATCATCTAATAAAACCTTTAAAATTTAATAAATAAGATCACGAAAAGAAAAAAAAAACTAAGTTTTCTCACCACAAAAAACTTGTCAATAAATTAAAATTCATTAAAATGCACCTTAAAAATACATAATTTCAGCTTGAAAAATATAGCAACTTTTGCATACTTCATATACTTTTAATTTATCAAAATTCAAAGAAATATGACATTAGAACTAATTTTCGTTAAATTTTTTTTGAGAAACTTAATATCGAGTTTAAGTTATTATTATTTATGAATTATATGAATATAATGGCATGAAAATTTAGTACAAGTAAACTTTGACTATTCGTAAGAAGAAGATACAATTGAAAAATGTAAAATATAATAAACTAATAAAATTATCATAAGATGGAGACTAAATTAAAAAACACGAAGAACTATTATTATTATTATATCCTGGAAAAAAATAATTATGATGCTCAATTTGTTCATAAAGTTTTACTGATAATCCAATAAAACAGAGAAACTCAATCCATCAAGAATTTGACATTACTCGCAGATGATGAGAAGAAAAATATTAATTCTACACAGTAACAATTTCCTCAAACAAATACAAATCTGTAATCAACAGTCTTCTGAAGCGATGAATTGACAAGAAACTTCCACAAGAAGGAAACGCAAACAACAAATCAATTTTACCGAAATCCGCTGTCTCCTCCGAATTTCTCCGGTTTCTCTTCAATCGAATCCTCCGAACTTCATTACATTACTTAACAACACAGAAATTCGTTCATCGAATCGACGGATACGGCGGCGATTTCTCTTCAGATTCCGTTTCAGAGCTATTGATTCTACAGTATCTTAATTGCAAAGAAATTTGTCGTTCTAACCTCAATTGACGGAGAAATTTATCGATAAAAATCTGAGATCGCTTATCGACATCGTCTTCAAAATTTACATAGCTTGAACTCGAAGCACGCTCAAGCTTTCTGACGGAACGATTCTCAACTATTCTCTCATCTTCTAGGAAACTCCGTAGCCCTACCGTCCGATCGTCGGAACCGAATGATCGCAGCCGTCGGGAATTTTGTCGACGAGAGACGCAGAGGCGGAGGAACGCAGTGAGTTTTATCGCGGACTTCTTCAGGCGGAATAGCAATGGCGATTTCTTCTGTGCCATTTTTGTAACTGTTTTGGACACGCAAATGAAAAATACAAAGTGCCAAAACGAGAAAGCTGAATTTATATAGTCGAGTCCAATCGGGTTTTCATTTTATTTTTCAAAATAAAAAATATTGGGGCTTTCCAATCAAATC